TTTTGCACATTGAGGATGATTGCTAGTCCCAAGCATCGTCTATTGGTTCTCTGTGTAATTACAGCTGGTCTGGCAATAACAGAGTAGCAACCGTGGGCGGTCAATCATGCTCATGCTCACTCTATATATCGTTGCTGAGGACTTCGTGCAAGTCCAGTAGATCAAATAATCTGAACTCCAAGACAACTTGGAGATCCTAGAATATATTGTGGTCAAGGAAACATATGCTGAATTATGAATTCAAGGTTAATGAGCGCTGCTAAGGATATCGTCTCTGTCCAGGTTAACCCTAATCTCTAGATTTTTACCAGATAAAAAGTTACTGTCTTCGGCTAAGTTTTTTAGGAAGTCGAAATCTTTTCGTTGGTGGAGTAGTTCAGAAAATTCTCACTACGTGGCGCTAGTATATAGGTGCAATTCTCGCATATACAATAGCTCGAGATCCTAAGCAGATAGAAAGTTACTGTTTTGGGCAAACTTGTTTAGGGGGCCAAGGTCTTTTGGCTGGTGGACAGTAGAGTTCAGAATTTTCTCACTACATAGCGCTAGTATACATGTGAAATTCTCGCATGTGTTATATCTCGAGATCCTGACCAGATAGAAAGTTACTGTCTTTCACAAAGTTTTTCAAGAGGTCAAAGTCTATTGCTGTGTGCACAATAGTTCAGAATTTTCACACTACGTGGCGTTAGTATACATGCAAAATTCTCGCATGTAAAATATCTCGAGATTCTGATCAGATAGATTTAGCTAGTGGACAGTAGTTCAAAATTTTCTCACTACGTAGCGCTATTATACACGTGAAATTCTCGCAAGTGGTTTGTTTCAAGATCCTGACCAAATAGAATGTTACTGTCTTCGGCAAAGTTGTTCAGGGGGGCAAGGTATTTTGGCTGGTGAACAGTAGTTCAGAATTTTCTCACAAACTCTATGCTTTAACCTCCTGAACAACTTTGTTCAAGACAGTAACCTTCTATCTGGTCAGGATCTCGAGATATATCACAGGCGAGAATTTCACATTTTACTAGCGCTACGTAGTGAGAAAATTTTGAACAACTGTCCACGAGCAAAAATTTTGTGATATCCTGAACAACTTTGCCGACGACAGTAATTTTCTATCTGGTCAAGAACTTGAGATATTTTATATGCGAGAATTTCACATGTATACACTGGAGTCGCTTTTTACGCGGTTTTTTTAAACACGGTCTTATTTTACACGGTTTTATTACGCGGATTCCGGAATTTACGCGGTTTTTTTTTACGCGGGACGTATCACCCGCGTAAAAAGCGATTCCAGTGTGCTAGCACCATGAAGTGAGAAAATTCTGAACTACTGTCTACCAGCCAAAATACCTTGACCTCCGGAACAATTTTGTCGTAGACAGTAACTTTCTATCTGATCAGCATATGCGAGAAGTGTACATGTATACTAACGCCACGAGGTGAGAAAATTCTTAACCACTGTTTACCAGCCAAAAAGTCTTGACCCCCTAAACAACTTTGCCGAAGACAGCAACTTTCTAGCAGATCAATATCTCGAGCTATTGAATATGCGAGAAAGGCACGTATATACTAGCGCCGCATAGTGAGAAAATTCTGAACTATTGTCACCCAACAAAAAGATCTTGACTTCCTGAAAAACTTTGCCGAATACATTTACTTTCTATCTGGTCAGGATCTAGAGATTTTAAATATGCAAGAGTTTAACATGTATAGTAGCGCCGCAAGGCGAGAAAACTCTGAACTACTGTCCACCTGCGAAAAAGCCTTGACCTCCTGAACAACTATGCCGAAGACAGTACCTTTCTATCTGGTTGGGAACTCGAGATATTTTATATGATAATTTCACTTGTATACTAGCGTCGCGTAGTGAGCAAATTCTGAACTATTGAGCACCAAGCAATAGACTTTGACCTTCTGAAAAACTTTGTGGAAGACAGTAACTTTCTATCTGGTCAGGATCTCGAGATATAACACATTCGAGAATTTCACATGTATACTAGCGCTACGTAGTGAGAAAATTCTGAACTACTGTCCGCCAGCGACAAGACTATGACCTCCTAAACAACTTTGTCGGAGACAGTAACTTTTTATCTGGTCAGGATCTCGATATATTCCATGTTGTAATAAATTAAGTCAAATCCCACGTAGTATGGTCACAGTTTACGCGGTTTACATTTACATTTTACCTATTATCCGCATTTTCTAGGTGTTTACTGTAATCAAAGTTTAGCTTGTTTAGATCAAAACAAGTTTTTTGAGGAATACTCGTTGGTTTCAGATCGATTGGCAACTCAGCAACAAAATAGCAATGGAAAACTCATGTGTGTTTTGCCCCGTAACGTGGGTAGATCACCTTTTCGTGGTACGTTACGGGATGTAAGATCTACCACCGATTCCTAGTCTTGACTACTTCAAACAATTGGAACAGGATTTTACAGTAATTAAAGGAACACATCTTAGTCCTTGTTACTTTTTATGCCTTGTTGATAGTGATAAGTCCTCGGGTTGCGTGGACCGAGGATGATCTTGAAACAAGGAAAAAATTAGTTAGTTAGTCTTCACCTATGTGATTCCTAATCTTCTATTCGTTGTTTCCTAGTTTGAAGTGGTTAAGACTAGGGTTCTGATGCATGGTCATTATCGGTGTCATGTCTTGTTTTTTTTTGCTAAGGAATCCAATTTTGACTGACAAAGGGGCGCGCCTTTGGAGGGTGTTTCAACACTCCGAAGGGTATAAATAGCGGGACCTTTCAATTAGAATCGATTCCTTGCGATAAAGGCAAGAATGACAACTGTATCAAAACCGAATACTTCATCATTTCTCAATAGTGATGGAGTAATACGACATGCACTAAACTAAGGACACGGGATATACTACAATAGATCAAATTACTGGTCGCAGTGGTTTTATGTCCCGAACAGAGGTAAAAAAAAAAAGTACAACAGCGCGAGTAACGGAGGGTTAAGTCCATGTTATCAAACATAAAATCTTCATAAGGTTTTGGATATCTACCCGAGCAAAGTTAGAGATCAAATTGAAATCAGAATTTGCTGTTATGATGTAACTTATTTTGAATACTCCATTTGATCTCATTTTGGTTGACTTAACGGTTAACACATCAAAAATGAGAGCAAAATTTTACACTGTTGAATCAAACGAAAAACTAATCCTGCTTTCAATGAAATCAATTTGATTACTGATTTTGTATTCATAATGTTTGACTGAATACGGTCCTGGTGTAAATGGTTAGCATCCAAGCTTCTCACGCTGAAAGACTTGAGCTCAAATGTCACCTCGGGTTGGTTACGAATGACCTAAAATGTGTTAAACAAAACAATTAAACAATAATCGTTAGTTCAACGACAGATAAGCTTAACTTAAATTTTAAACAAGACGTTAACAGCAGAACTTCAAGTTAAGTTGCTTTCATTTAAAAAGTCTTGACTGCATAATGAAAGCACAATATGATATCAGACTAATGTCGTGACAATTGTAATCAAAATGAGTATTCATTATGATAGAAACTGCAATCTTTAATATCGATTTGCTTTCATTTTGTTAACCGACTTTGCTCGGGTAGGCCATCAACTTTGGCTCTACACTGAAGTCTTTTTTTACACGGTTTTTCGCGATTTACATGGTACGTTTTTAACGATTTCTCGATAACGATACGTCCTATCTACTTGATTCCAATCACATTATTCGTTTCAAGCTATAGGTAATCGAATGGCATACTTTAAAAAAAATCACAATTTTTGGTGTAAATACAGAAATTTTTAAAATATTTCTATATGGACCATAGCATGCTATAATTACAAATGGCATCAAAATTCGATTTTTTTAAAAAGCGCTCGACAGTCTCTAACTTGATGTCATACACGAACACTCTTATAGGTAGCATCGAGAAGCGTCAGCAAGTGGACTCCGGTTACATCGACTTCTCTAAGGCTTTTGACAAAGTCCCTCACGACCTAGCCATTATGAAGCTAAACCGCTAAACATTTAAACATGTGAAAAATCAAAATCTCTTAGGTTTTTTTTTTCTGTGAAGTTAACATCTGAAATTATAGCTTTGTCGAAGAAAGTATGGGTCTAACTATCACTTGTGAATTTATACAGCCAACCATAGAAGGTGGGCATATATGACCCTTTTGTCCTGAAAGGGTTAAGGCAAAATCAAAATGTTTGGTGTTCTTCTTCTTCTTCTTCATCGCATTTCAAGCTTATTGCATGCTCTCAACTTAGTGTTCTAGGTGCACTTCCACAGTTATTAATTTCGATACCTGTACCATTTTATTAAGTTATTAATTGAGGGCTTTCGATATCTGTACCATTTTTGGCAAAAAAAATTTGCATTAGTATAATTGTGTGGCAAGTACAATCATACTCTATGCCCAGGGAAGTCGAGAAATTATCCAACCCGAAAAATTCCTAGACTGGGCCGGGAATCGAACCCAGCCACCTCCAGCATGGTCTTGCCTTGCAGCTACGCCTTTACCGACTCAGCTAAGGAAGGCCCCTTAGCCCCTAGTGTTGACAAATCTTAAAAACTTAGTCTAGAATTTTAAATAAGGCTCACACACACTGCACCCGTTGGCGATACTTTTCGGCAAAGTGACAGCCAAATCTATTGCCTAACTGTCAGATTTGCCGCAGCGGATCGCCAACGGATGCAATGTGCCGTGGCCTTAAGACTTAAAACTAAAACGTATTTTATTTAGAAATCAGCGCTGATAAGCGAAAACGGATTTCCACCCATCAGTCAGTCACCATTCCATCTGGGGTGACAAATGATGATGACACATCGCTCTCCGTTTCCCTTGTCGAATAGCATTGAACCAAGCACCGAAAAATTGTCATTTTCATCATGTGTGTCAATCAGTAGTATCGACTGTTGTCCACCTCTCATCTTTCGTCGAAATTTGTCCGCAGACAACGCATGTAAATGAGTTGTAAATGTCCACACTCGTAATGAAAGAAAGAAAAAAAAACTTACTGTGTCCTCAGCGTAAAGGCCGCACTGGTGATGCTCGAGGGAAGGTGCAGTCCCTTGATGATTTCCTGCCAGAGCTTCTTGTTGATCACATCGACCAGTCCGCCGCGGGCAATCACCAAATTGTACAGCTCGTACAGATCCAGCACCGATTTGGCCATGATCGGTAGGCGGTTGATTGGAGTTCCTGGAAAGCAGAAGCATACCGGAAAATTTCGTTTTAATTAATTTGATTAACACCTCACCCAGCGCGCAACTATTGACTAACGGCAAAATGGAATTTTTCAAGCATCTCACACATTTCATCGATGCGACGACGTTCGCTAAGATGACCGAGAGGTCAGACCCCCTTCAGGGGGGTGTGGGGGTGGGACACCAAGTGGTCGCGGTGGGGTAATGAAATTGAAAAATGCTTACCAACCCAAGCCACCAACCAAAGAAGACGTCGACGACGGCGACGAAGACGGCGTAGAAAGAAAAAAAAATCTATTTTTATTAATATTTGTCTTTATTATGCTAACTTCTCTCGAGCACAGAATATTTATTCTCGAAAAGAAAAACACATATCTGACAATCAATTTTGACATCTCTTCTCTTTTCTCATCACTCGTCTGGGTTCATATTGGTGGTGAGGGGGGTGTTTCGTGATGGGTGCGACGAAAACGAAGCGGCTACCGAACAGTAGCACTTCTTGAGTATTGAATGTATGAGTCTGACTCCCAGGAAGGGAGGGGGGGGGGGTTAAAGGATCGACAAGAAGAGTTGAAAAATGTAGATGATGAATATTTTCATCAGTTAACTTGCCTTCTGCCTTTTCTGGTTCAGCGTTGTTGCTGGTGATCATGGGCGTGTACAGCTCGTTTCGGAAAGGGGGAAACCACCGTCATCGACACAACCCGACCGAATCATTGCAAATAAAGCAATCGTTCTTCAGCCCATCGTAACCACTGATCTCCGCAGTCCTCGGCATGCCGCTGTTGGGCGCCCGTCAGTGTATCGACTGTAGATACTAAATTTATTCCCTACGTCGGTCCCGGCCGAACTGGACCCAGGAATGCCTCGAAGGAAAACGGAAAATGGCTGAGGGACACGCCAGCTAACGGGGAAGGAGAACGACGGGAATATTCAAATTACGCTCTCCGCTGCTGACCAACCGAACCTGAAGTGAGTGGCTGGTGGCTGGCGGCATTTATCAACCATTCGACAGTCGAGGAAAATTTGTTCCTTTTTTTTTTTTCCTTTTTCAATATGTACGTGATGCAAGAAGTGGTAGAAATTGCTCCGTAATTGCGGGATTCAACAGAACCTATGCATAAATTTACAGATTATTTCGGCCATAAAAACAGAGAACGAGGCAAGAAGTGTGGAAAAGTGCGGTGGACCACTGCTGCATCATCATTGACTGGACAAATGATATCCTACTAATGAATTTCCGTCAGCGCAAACGGCGGCGAACCCGTCTAGAATAATATTATTCTTCGGTACGGATTGGTTGGTTTGTTGTTGCTGGTTTGGTGTACGTGGTGGCATTAATTTGCTCGGTGAGGGAATTTTCGTTTCTTTTTCTTTTTTTTTCGAGGGAGGGGGACAACAAAAAGGGGGCGTCGTTGCGATATCGCCGGTATTTTTAGCAGACGCCAGATTAATTTGCCATTTTGTGATGGTAGTGTAACGAAATTCGGTCGTCATCAGTGTTGGATAATGTTGCAGATTGCCATCTGGTTCCTGTGCGCGGATGTTGAATGGTGTTTATTTACTTATGAATTTTGGTTTTTGTGTTTTAGTTTGGTATTTTTGTTGAACGAATTAATTTGAGTATGTTGGAATCAGGTGGCAGGAATTATTTTATGGACGTCTTGGTTTGTTATTATAGTAGTATTGAGAAGCAGTGGCTTCAGATTGAAGTTGCTGTGAATTTTCATTCGGATTCCGCTATTTTGAACGACTGATCAAATTACTGTAATGTTCAGATCATTAACAAGGTGGCCAGTGAATTTTCATTTCGGAATTCCCGGTTTTCTCAGTTCAAATCTTAAAAAAATTCCCGGTTGTTAATATTGAACTAAAAACGAAATTGTACGCATTTTTAAAAACGTGTCGAACAACTGTGAATTTTTGGAGGTTATTTGTGGGAAAAGTAAAAGCAGAATTACAGAAAGTATTTTTAAAAGCTGAAAGTATAAATTCAACTCTATGAGTCACTTAATGTATTCAATTCGTTCACTTTTTATGCTCGATGCATCTTATGAATTCAAAGCCCTAGAATTTATTGAGAAACAGAGATTAACGTCACTAGGCCAAATGGTATCTAGATGAATATGTTATGAGGCAGAATTGTGAAAAACAAAAGATCTAATTTAAAAAAAAATTCAGACAAAATTAACTTGATACAAATGAGAATTAGAGAAAATTGTGAGGGATAAAGGGTGATACGGTCGAAATTTGGTCAAGGGAAAACGCGTGTAAATCGGTGAAATCGTTTATTAAAAAAATCAAATTAAATTTCTTTTTCAAGTTCAATTAGTATAAAATTCAGGAAAAATATTCAGTTAGGCTTCCGCTTTTCCAAATCCGAATTGCCGGGCCTTACGCTTGACCCCTGCCATCAGATTTTGTACAGCCACCTTGTCCACCTTCTTCGCCGCAGAAAGCCAGTTTGCCTTGAACTGCTGCTCGCCCTTAGCAGTTTTTTTGGTCTTCTTTAGGTTCCGCTTGACAATAGCCCAGTATTTCTCAATTGGGCGGAGCTCTGGCGTGTTGGGAGGGTTCTTGTCCTTGGGAACCACCTGCACGTTGTTGGCGGCGTACCACTCCATGGCCTTTTTACCGTAATGGCAAGATGCCAAATCCGGCCAAAACAGTACGGAACAACCGTGTTTCTTCAGGAAAGGCAGCAGACGTTTATTCAAACACTCTTTCACGTAAATTTCTTGGTTGACAGTCCCGGAAGCTATGAAAATGCTGCTTTTCAAGCCACAGGTACAGATGGCTTGCCAAACCAGATATTTCTTTGCGAACTTTGACAGTTTCATGTGCTTGAAAACATCTGCTACCTTTCCCCTTCCTTTTGCCGTATAAAACTCCTGTCCCGGAAGCTGCTTGTAGTCGGCTTTGACGTAGGTTTCGTCGTCCATTACCACGCAGTCAAACTTCGTCAGCATCGTCGTGTACAGCCTCCGGGATCGCGCTTTGGCCGTCGTATTTTGTTTATCATCGCGATTTGGAGTCACTACCTTCTTGTAAGTCGATAGTCCGGCTAGACGATACACCCAGCTTATTTGCGGCATCTCGGGGAGAGAGGTTAGGGTTTCGCTTGAAACTACCGGCAACTCTCTTTGTCGTCTCAGTGGCTTCCGGTTTTTGATTTCCCCCCGATTCAGACTTCCTGGCTGTCGACAAACGTTCCCCAAACACTTTAATTACATTTGTAACGGTTGATTTGGCAACTTTTAGCGATTTTGCCAACTTTGCGTGCGAGTAGCTCGGATTTTCGCGATGCGCGAGCAAAATTTTGATACGCTGCTCTTCTTGCTTGGACGGCATTTTGACAACTGAAGAGTGAATTCCAAAATCAAAATAGGAGCAACATTCTACACACACACACCTTCAAAATGAGGGGTGTTCAGGTTTTTTAAATGCAAAATTGAAAGAAATACGTCAAGTTGATATTGACCAAATTTTGACCGTATCACCCGCACTCGCGCTGATGTACAAATTTAAACACAAATAGATGTGTTAAAACTTTTGACGGTGGAACTCACTCAACGTGAAACTAAACATGGTTCATGCAATTTAATACCCACGTCCAATAGACCAATATTTGAAAAATATTACTGAAAGATTATTTACTGAAAGGATAAAAAAATGTGATTTAAGAAGATTCCCATAATTCTGAGACTTTGAAATTTGTGTACAGTTTGAAACTAGAACTTTTCTTCAAAATTTGTGATTGATAACGATCTTCGTGATACAAGATTTGGAGAAAAAATAATTAAAATGTGAGATTTTGATTTTTTTTTCAAGATCACATATTTGAAAAAAAATCATATTTATGAGTCGTGCAGTCATAATTGTCAATGGTCTGAGACTTGCAAGCATTTTAAGGGTTATAACACATTACAGAACAATCGATAGAATCTTGCGGACAAAGCTTGGAATATTTAGTAAAATTTAAAAGTATTTAAAGAGTTGATTTCAATGAAATATTGAAGAGGATTCCCACATAATTTTTGAAGGAGAAGTTCTGAGCAGAATTCCAGAATTATATTCAATTTCGGAATTCAGGGCTGTTACAAGATTTTCTAAATTTGATCCGCGAAATCCGCGATTTCTCAAAAGAAATCCGCGACTTCAAATACTAATCCGCGACAAAAAAAAAACTGTTTTCATTGTCTAAAAATAGCATTTCTATACTACTACATGGCATTTCAAGCCTATTGCTTATATAGTAGCATATTAGATTTTTGCCTGCTCTCAACTTAGTGTTCTTTGAAGTACTTTCACATTTTAATTGAGAGCTTTTTATGCCTGTACCATCCTATGCCAAAGAAAGTAGAGAAATTTTCCAATCCGAAAAATTTATAGACCGGACGGGAATCGAACTCAGCAAGCATGAACTTTCTTTGTAGCTGCGCCTTTACCGACTGAGCTAAAAGAGTATCGTTTGTAACCTTTGATTTTTTTTTAAATAGCTTTTATCATCTTCAGTTATTTATGTATAGTATAAATTCTGAGTAATTAGTGAACATAATAAAACACCCTTACATTATGAGATTCCATTGAATAATACCGGCCTAGATTTGATGTAACATTATTTAAAAAAATGCATTTTCATTTGCAATGAAATTTTTTTTTAATTTAACCTTTGCGTCTCTGACGTATTTTACTGTCCTAAATGTTGTAGTTAATTTGGCTCTAGTTTTCTCAATTTTGTACCGATTCAAACCAAATACCCTGCACATAATCGAGAAATTACCAGAGTTTCATAAGTCACACTTGTTGGTCACGTCACGGTTGTGTATTTACACGGATATTCCTTGGGTTCTGTCCAATGGTGAGACATTTTCATGATTTTTTTTATTTCTAATGTGAACCTAGCACTTTTCGTTGTCAAATAATAACCGAATCGTGTGACTTTATGGATCATGCACGACTTATTACTATATGTATACCGCAAATTATAGGTTT